GTTCTTCATGATACCTTGTCAACAGGATAATCAAAGACAGGCCCTTTGAGAAAACAGGGAGATTCTAAATTGTCTAACTGACCCTCCCAAGGGGGCTGAAGGCCAACACTGACGCTCATCTCTGGGGAACCTCCTGCTGGATGCACCAAGGGCTCTGCTCAAGTCTGTTCTGTTCAACATACACGTCAGGGAAGTGGACGCAGGCTTGAAAACACACTGAGTGCATTAGAAAGTGACAGAGCTAGAGACTGCAGCTATACTGAACACTGTATCACTGAATAAAGCTTTCAATTTGTTTAATCACTACAGACTGGAAAAATTTAACTTAGATCTATAAGATGGCAACTTAAATCTGAAGCCCTCCAAGAGGTCCAAATATTAAATTATAAAAGTAGGGCAGAGGGAGGGCTTCCCTGGTGGCGCAGTGGTTGGGAGTCCGCCTGCCGATGCGGGGGACGCGGGTTCGTGCCCCGGTCCGGGAGGATCCCACATGCCGCGGAGCGGCTGGGCCCGTGAGCCATGGCCGCTGAGCCTGCGCGTCCGGAGCCTGTGCTCCGCAACGGGAGAGGCCACAACAGTGAGAGGCCCGTGTACCGCAAAAAAAAAAAAAAAAAAAGTAGGGCAGGGGGAGACACAGTTAATGGGCCAAACATCTGAGAGAAACTTGGGCATTTTAATTGTCACTCAATAGCACAGTACAACGGCCAGTAAAGCAAGTAAGAGTCTAGTCTGCACAGAAGAGAAGATGGCGGCCCCGGGGTGCCATCCGCTCTACTAAATCCACACCTTACAAGGGACGGTAATGAAATTAGCACTCAGAGAAAACGGGGCAGATTTAAGGCTATATTCAACATTTTAAGCGTAAGTTATATAAGAAGAGGGGCAGACACCTCGGTGTAGTTTGGTGGTCTGGGCACAGCACGCACCAATGGCACAGAGGATGAAAGAAGCAGATTTGGGTTTAAGACAGTGACGTTTCTGACGAGCCTGCTGAAGACAATCGATCAGCTCAAGGCTGAGTGTCCAGACAGAAGCATACGGAGGAGCTCATACCAGTCAGGGAGGCCACAGCAAAGATTCCTGCACCACGCAAGAGACAAGAAGGACCACCTGTAAAATCCCATGATTCGTTAAGCCAGCTAAGGTACAGTACAGGCACAACTATGCCAACACTGAAGACAGATTTCTGCATGGAATTTTCTCATTAAAACTAAGACAATTGGTCATTTCCCCTGGTTTGGAATTCTGAGGCCGTGGCCCAGCTGGCAGTGCTCCCTCAAAGCACTGTGCTCCAGCTTGACCAGGCAGCACGGACGGCCACACGTCGCACAGAGCACGCTTCACCCCGAGGCCCCTTCACCTCAGGCTGCACCTTTCAGGGGCCGCATCACACAGCCGCGGTGTCAGCGCCCTGACGCAAGCACACCTGGTCCTGGCCACGCTGCCACCCTCCGTCAGACAGTGTGTACCGCAGCGGGCATCACAGGTTCACCCAGCATGAAAACAAAAGTCATCGTACAAAGGAAAGAACTCAAATACCCAGCGGGCCACCAATTTGGCATCAACCTCAGCAGATACTGTCACAGGAAGAGTGTCTACAATTCCGTATTTCACTTCACTTAGATTTTGATACGTGCACAAGAGTAAAATACGACACAAACCTATGTCTCAGTACATCTAAATGAACTTTTCAGTAAGTAAAAAATAAAAGAATTTTAAGTGGTAGGAAAGAATTGTGTCATAGTTTTTAGTCAGAAAAGCTTAGCCTTTCCCAATGGTATGGTACATAAAATAAATAATAATGCCTCTGAAAGTCAGTGGTGTCTTGGATTCAATGAAATACAACGTGTTTCTAGCAAATTTGGTGTGTATTTTAGACTACATAGCCCTTTATTTTTACTCTATCTGTAACAGAATGGAATTCTAGAATTGTGGAGTTGGAAGGAACCTTGGCGGTCACTTGGTCTAACTCAATCTAGTATGTGAATCCTTTCAACAATATATAGTGGATGACAACTTCCAAAGAAGCTGAAAGATTCCCATCAATTGTGGAACCTATCAGAGAAAGCATGCAATCCACAAGAGGATTTCTCAAGCAAATCACATAAAGCACCCCCCAAAAAAGGTCTGACCTAAGAAAATTAAGATTTATGTTCAGTGAAGGACGCCACAAAGTTAGCACAGAAGTGACAAACTGGAATAATGTATTTGCAACATATTTAACTGATAAAAGATTTATAGGAATTCCTATAAATCAGCAATAAAAATGGTAGAAGAACTGAATGGACAAAGAATAGGAAAAGGCATTTCACAGAAAGGAACACCAGGATATCTAATGGCCACATAAAGAGTTCATCCCTGTTATCAATCAGAGATACAGCTATGACATTATATAACTGTCCTCTAATTTACAGGATAAAAGTATAGATTTTAGTATTTAGTAAAGTGGCACAGAAAGTCTATTAAAAAGAACCCCACATGAATCATTTTATAAAGTAAATTTTCATTTTATAGTTTAAAGTGGTAATCCTATTTGTTTTCTAAATTAAGGTTTATACACATCAGCTTGTTTTGAAGCAGCATAATACCTTTACAGAGAAATAAAGTATATTTTATGATTTCCAAATAAATATACAAATATATCTCGTTTCTTTTACTACTAGAATTTCCTTATGTTTTAGAAAACACAACAAACTTGTAAACTTGAGCACAGTTTAAGCACAACCCAGTAGGGGAAATATTCACTGTCTGTTTCACAAATAAAAATCTTAATGTTAACTGATGCAGTACAAATCACTACATCAATGGTTTGCCATTTTAAGGAAAATGACAGGTTGGGTGACAGGTATTACTAGGTCAAATGCAATTCAAATCACTAAGGACAACATATGGTTAGTTCTAGAAAATATTTCAGTAGGCTCTCACGCTATGAAGGTCGCGTATTGCTCACTGCTTCCAGGACTAAGCAAAAGAAAGGGGGGAAAATCATTCTCACCAGCCTGGAAAAAGTAAAAACATCTTCGACCTGCGTCAAACAAGGAGGTTCCCAATTCAAACAGATGGATATCAGTTCTGAAGTACAGTTATGTCATGAAAATCCCCAGCAAGTCACATGATACTGCCAAAAAAGCCAACACCCGCGTGTACTTCAGTTGTGTGTATACACACATCCAGAGACCACTTCAGTTAGCGAGTGTAGGTTTCATATTTTAAAATGTCCATATATTTAAGAGTCAAAGAGTAAGTTTTTTGTCTTTTTCCAAAAAGACAGCTTCTGAAGAAAGACCTATATTGTGTGTATACTGACGGGCAATATGAATCTCCTCCACAGGTTTCATCTTAATGTTACCACGCTGTGCACAATACACAGAAAATAATGCTATTTGAAAGGAAAAGGAAAAGGAAACATAAACTCTGCAAGTCTGCAAGCTGAAGGTACAAATGAGCGAAAGAACTGCAAGAACGTCCAGAAGCCCAGAGGCTGCCCCAGGCCATGGGATGTTGGAGTCTGGAGACTTTGTGTTTTCCTACTTTAGTATCGTATGTAAGTGGACACACAACTCCCCAGAGAATAACGTCTGGCCTATTGTTTCTGAGGGCGAGCAAAACAGATGGTTCTAGTCAAAGTGCTTCCCTAGCCCCCGCCTCACCCGCTATCTGCTGAGGGTGGTGGCGGCGGTGGCCGGAGGGGGATGGACGCTGCTGGGGAGGGAAGGGGGGTTTAAATCAAAACGGACAGGTAGAGCAGTGAGGGGTGGATGGAATGTAAATTATGTTTGGCTTTAAATATCAGAGTTTTAATGTTTTATTAGTAATAAATCCACCTTCTCCCCCCTTAAACTGCTGTCACAACATGTATTAGTGGCCCCTGACAAACGCTTGAAATCTCTGCCATCATTATTACACAGGAAAGGCTTTGAAAGAATTCCAAGCAATCCATCCATGTCGTACTTTGACAAAGCAAGTGAAAGGCAATGGGTAGAGAAGATTTAGCTCTGGAGAAGGAGTAAGAAAGCCTTAACTCTAGCCCTGGTTCTGCCCCTCAAAACCTAGCGGGCGGACCCAAGTCAAGGAGCTGAATTTCTTTGAGATTCAGTTATCTGGTACGTAAAATGAAGGAATTAGATCCTCCAGTTATATAAGGAAGTAGCCAGCGGTCTAGATGGCTAGGGTGGCGACAACAAAAGAACTGTCAAATAGATACAATGTTGCCAATAGTTACACTCCATAATTAATTTTCAAGTATTTTCTAATTAGTGCCACAACTTGAAAAGAAAAAAAATCCTTCAACAAGCTACCAAAAGATGAGAAAACACTGTATAAAGCTGATTAAATATTTTCTTATGTTAGTAAAACCAAATAAGCTAGGATGACATTTTTTAAATTACACATAAGTTATTTTAATAATTGCTTTTCAAATAATGAAAATTTAGTCACAAAGAAAGTAATCTATTTAAAAATTTTAAAGCTTTTATTGCAGCTAGCAAAAGACAAGGAACAATCTAAGAATTCGTATGTAATTTATAACTTCAACTAGAAACAAATTCTTAAATACTTATAGTAATTGCACAGAAGAAAGGTGGGGAAAAGTATTTACATGATTATTTGAGTTACACTTACAGAAATCCCTGCACAAAACTTTTAAGATTTCCACAAGTCATAGAAGGAAAAGCTCAGAGTAATTATTTTAGGAATGACCTAATTGGGGTTAAAATATTAATAAGACACATAATAAGCTTCAAAAACCAACCTAAAAACAAGTTTGCCACCTCGAACACATGAAACGTCACTAAATGGAAAAGGAATCTGGATGACTTAAAAATAATTGAACCTCTGCTAGTTATAATGTTGGAATCTTTCACTTGGGAATACAATAACTACAATCACAGCTAAGAAGAAAAGACGTGTTTTTGTTAGTGTGCGCTATCTTTCTCTGACATTTATAAACCCTAGGAATAAATGACAGTTCCTTTTCAAATAAAATATGAACAACAACAAAAAAATCTTGGAAATTAAAACATTTAATTTTGTTTTTTTCTGCCAGATGATGAATTCAGGCTGTGCTAGTAAAATTATAATGTTGGCTTTTAAAAATATATTTTCTAAACTTTCACTTTTTGTTTTCTAAAATCATTGTCTATATTTAACCACGACATTTCTCATTATAAACTCACACTTAGCGTATATTTAGTAGAGTTGCCAATACGGATGTGACAAACTCATTATCCCACAAATCAAACATCTAGTTTCTACTCTTCTGCATTACATTTTTTAAAAGGTAGAAGTCTACTCTAGATTAGGATTTCAAATATTTCTTGAGAAAACCATTTATACTAAAATCTGTCCACTGATTCTTCCCTAAAAGTATGGTTTTGAAAAGAGACTGAACTTTTCATCCTTAGCTTTTATTACACTTACGTTTACATTAGATAAGACATACAATTTACATTGATAAGCATAACACTACTGCAAAAAACAAATCATATCATCATTGAATTTTAGGGTGGAAGAGATCTCAGAGAGCAGCTGACCTAACCCTTCCTTCCCAAAGCCTCACCCCCCATTTTACAGATGTGGAAACTGAGGCCCAGAGAAGCTGCACGTTTCATTCATGAGTTTTGCTTTGCAAGACTAAAAAGGCTCTGGCTAGTCTAATTCCTTCTATTTCTTCTCATGAAGAAAAAATATCCTGTGCTAGTATTTAGAATGCTTTACATTTCAATATACTGATCACACACACAAGATCAATGAGGCTTAAATCATAAAATAATTATATAATTAAAACTGGGTTAAATAAATACATATCTATAAATTTTTCAATATAGTGAAATCCTTAGTTATCTTTTAGATTTATCACAAATTTCTAAGAGATAAACAACTCACAAATTTTCAGACATTAGCCACATTTAAATATGTGTTTTCTTAATGTCTTAATTGTTCCAACAATCAATATTTTCATCATTATAGCGATGTTTCATGAACATATCTGTATACGCAACAAACTATCTTACTTAATTTTATGAAGCTCTGTTCATAAAGGTCTAAAACCACAATACAATTTAAGTAAAGTACAGACTATTCATAAGGGATCTGACAGGTGACAACACAACATATGTCTTTAGTTTAACACAGATGGAAGACTGCAAATAAGAAGTCAATAACAGCAACAAAATCTGCATAACCGAGAAATCATGATACCACAGAGCGCGTCAGGTCACAGAGCGAATATTAAACAAACAAACATGTGATTGGAACACTACACGAATGTCGTGTGCTAACATCTGGAATTAAGATCTACTGCAGTGGAGAAAATGAGGTGCCCCTGAAAGTAAAGGTAAGCATTAAATCTCTGCACTTCGTTGCTGTTTTACACGGAGAAGTGTAATTCTTATCTCATTAAAAATTCTCATTTGTATTAGTAATTGCAAGACAATGAGTAAGCTGAGTCAAAACTCTTTGTAAACTTATATTTTATTATTAAAGAAGACAAAATTAACCTGCAATGTTTCTATTAAATATTTCATGAGCATATGAGCTGACATTGAGTTTTTTTTTTAATGTGACACTGTTCGTGTCAAAATTTTACTGAAATGTTTTTACTGAAAGCACTAAATGTAATTTATGCTATATTGTAAAGAACGAATTTTCACGGTTTGCAATTTAAAATCTTTGACCAGATAACTGCGAAACCAAGATATTTATGTTGTCAGTTAAAATACATCTTTTCCCAAATGATATATCTATAAATTCCTTCAGAATTAGGATGGCAGAACACATAGGAAAAAAAGAAAAAGAAAATTCAACGAAGCTTGTCAAAAGAGAAAACTTGAGAAAAAAATGACAAGCTAATATTTCACACTTTAGAGACTTTTTAAACTGGGTTTTATGGACTAGTGTCTGGACCCTGTGCCAGTAAAGCTGCAGCACCAAGACTCATCAACATAGAAGATGCTCAGCTTGAGAAGCAGAATCCTCAAGAGGAAACCGAGAGAATGAAGCAGGCAGAGAGAGACAGAGAGCTAGAGACACCAAATCCACATGGAATCATTCCCCAAAGAATACAAGCGACCGGCAATACAATTACGAACGTAAGTAAGTGTTCAATCCAAAAATACAGATGCAACCTGTAAAAAAGAAAAAAGGAATTTTTAAAAGGATAAATTTGGGGCCAAAGTTGGACTTCAGGCATTTATAGGAAATTAACTAAATTTTCCACTGATTATTACTACTTCACGAAAAACAATGGTCACACGAGAAAGTAGGCTTTGGGGTCACAGTCCCTCCTGTCTAACATACAAATAATTTTAGAATATTTACATATTTTAAAACATTTTTATCAAATTTTTTTAAAGCACAATTTGGGCATAGTTGGAATGAAAAGCTAAGAATTAAAAGAACAAATTTTTTGACAGTATAATCCTAAATAATAGAGTGTACTCTAATTTACTGATCAACTAGAATGCTACCTAACTAATTACATGGAAGGTAACACAATTTAAAAAAAAGAAATACTCAAGAGAAGCATTACATAAGCTATCATTATATTATAGTACAAATTTTCAAATATCTAAGATTTTGTAAGATTCATTTTACAAATGTAAAGCCATCGCAAATCACAATTAGTTACAAGATGCCAATAAGATCTTGACAGACCTCTATGACTCACATAAAATCTGTTTCTCAGGTTTAAAGTGCATCAAAAATTATTTATAAAGTGCATCCTTCCTAAAATCCATTTAAAAGGTTGTAAGCAAACTGAAAATGTTTTAATTATTCTACATTTAATTATTTATGTAAAATAGTCACAACATTTTATCAAGGAAAACTGATGTGCTGATGCTAACATGAAGAAAATCAGTAGATTAGTTTGAAAACAATGTCCTTCTGTGAAATTTGCCTACTCTAGACATGATTCTTTCAAATCAAGCAGTTGGAGGAAGTGGTGTTGCAATATTGTCCTTTTTTTTTTGAAAAAGGTCACATAAATAATCTGCAACGTACTCTTCCACTAAGAAAAAGCGCATGGTCTAAATCTAATGATGACCAAAGAGGGACAAAAAGTATAAAAGAAAAAGTACACAGGCACCTGCAAAACATACTATGTTCTGGCTAAAAGTTGTTTTCAAACAGCACATGTCAACCTAAAACAAATGATATATATTTCATTCTAAATCTAAAACACATATAATTGATATTTTGATAATGCTGTATGAAGAAATTTATATATAATTGTCACTAATTCAAACAACATAGGCTTTGATTTTAAGAACTATATGATGGTGAAAGTTCATCTTATAAAATGCCGTTTAATTAATTAAATTGAAAGCTCACAAAATTATAAAATAATTACACGTTTAGGATCAAAGTCAAATTTGGATTATTTCAAACCTTTCTTAGTTCTTGTATTTACACAGCCCACACTACTAAAAAAATGAGAGTAACACAGACCTAGCTGTGCAGACAAACTGAGGTTAACGCAATAGCTTACTTAAACCAGAGAAACAGCACACGTGTAAGTATGTATCTTCTTTTCTACTGATCTGTGACAGGGCAGACCCACTCCATCACTAACAAGTAACCCACGGCAGCAGGGATATGTCTTCTGCCTCGTTAAGTGACACCGAGGCCCAGGGCAACGGTGGGACTGGCCCTGGCAGCCCCGGCCCTTCCCGCGGTGCAGCAGCTACAGTCAAGTAAGCCTTTGTGAAGTCTGAGAAATAAATAATATTCGGTGTTATTTTTTGAACCCAGAAATGAGGTAAGGGGCTGTTAAGATATCAAATTTACTAAGAAAATAATTATGTGAGAAATAAGTTGCTGTCACAGGAGAGACTTGCCAGGCGCTACATCTGAGCAAGTGGTTAGACACACCTTTGGAATCAGTTTTGTGACACAGAGGCTGGTCTGCGGTACTAAAGCGCGTGAGAGCAGATCGGAAGAAGCCGAAGAGCAGGGGAGCGTCTTCCTGAACAGCCGCAGCATCACCTCGAGGAAGTAAGAAGCCTTAGGAGGCTCCCAAGGAGTAGATGCTGACCTGATCCTCCGGTTCAGGACACGCTACAAACTGCTCTTGTATAACCTGCTTCCATACCTCACGTTTCTAATAAACATGATTTTACTTTATTAGATCCTCATGCCTGGGCTCTCACCAAATCCAAACCTGAAACTTGAAAACTACCTTGGATATTTGCGGGCAGCCACAGAAGGGCCCTCAGAAGCAGACGCATATTAAATATTAATTATAATGACGACTGCCACCTTTTATGGTGATGATGTCATTATTTAGGAATGCTAATTAAGACATTAAATGACTTGCTAATTGCAAACGCATTCTGAAGGAATCTCTTTGTCCTTGTACGTTGAATAGCAAATCCAGCGTGGGGACCAGACCATAACAGACCGCAGTTCTATTTTCTAAAATGCTGACATTTGAGCAAATGTTCCCATGGAATGTTTGCCTGCTTCGTGGACTGACATTTCCTCCTGGTAACTGGCTTAAGTGAGAAGGCGGCGTCCAGGCCAAGCCCCACAGCCTGCAGGCAGCGGGCCATCACTCGCCGCCGAAACTGTGTCCGGTTTCTCTTTTGCTTCCCCCTTGCCCCTCCGCCCCCCGGCCCTCTGTCGCCTCTGGATTTTGACACGCATATTATCTTAGCTGATTTCTATCATCTTACGGGACTGGGTGACATACCTTCAAAGATTAAGCTTTCCCACCTGGGATTTGTCCAGAAATTCAGTGTATTACAGCTTCTCACAGCCTTCTTCATTCTCCTACACTCTTGTGTTATCAACAGTGGCTTTCTTTCCTATTTTATGTTTAACTACAGGACACAGGCGGCCACGCTGATAGAAGTCGGTTTACACTGTCACTCATCTCTGTTCTAACTGCCAGGCTGACTTCCGCCGTCTGTAACGCTCTGCTGCCATCTATACGTAGAAAAGGGCACAACGCTCTTCCACCCCCCCCCCCACACCCCGAAACTCCCCCTGTTCCAAAAAGAATCCTGTCTCTGATGACAAGGGAAGCTTCAGGAGTAATTTGCTTCCCCACAAAAAAGCTTCCCTGGAAGCTTAGAAGGAATTTCTATTTATTTATCTGTGAAGCAACTTTCGGAAAAGTACTGAAGATGCGTTATTTAACATAAACCAAAACCAACAGTCCATCATTGCTGTTGATAAATTTTAGCGAATATGGCCACTTCTACGGAGTTATGATTGAAAAAGAAGAGGCAACAAGAAGTTAAAGTTTTAAGTCACTTAAATAATTACAATAGGGCTTCCCTGGTGGCGCAGTGGCTAAGAATCCGCCTGCCAATGCAGGGGACGCGGGTTCGAGCCCTGGTCCGGGAAGATCCCACATGCCGCGGAGCAACTAAGCCCGTGTGCCACAGCTACTGAGCCTGCGCTCTAGAGCCCGCGAGCCACAACTCCTGAAGCCCGCGCGCCTAGAGCCAGTGCTCTGCAACTAGAGAAGCCACCGCGATGAGAAGCCCTTGCACCGCAACGAAGAGCAGCCCCTGCTCGCCACAACTAGAGAAAGCCCGCGCGCAGCAATGAAGACCCAACGCAGCCAAAAATAAATAAATAAAATTTAAAAAAATAAATAAATAAATAAATAAATAATTACAATAAAAATAATTTTGCAAAACTGCAATCTAAATATCTTGCCAAATATGATCAAATGATCACTTTCATAATATTTAATATAAAGTAAATGTAAAGAAACCAGATTAAAAAAAAATCTACTCACATTATGTAAACTACCAAAAACTCAAATACTGTGGTTTGATAATCACCTAGTCTCTGTCAAATGCCCAAATGCTGCCTTTCTAGGGAAGACAGAGAAACGTGTCAGAACCCTAGAGCCCTCAGCCTTCCCTGTGGTGCAGATTACGCTGAACCGTGCGGACAAATGTCAGCGTCAAAAAAGCACACAAACAAGAAAAACACTCCGGGGTGGGCCTTAAGCAAAACAGGAACCTTAAGCAAAACAAACCAAAACCACAGAAAACCTTTCCTCTTTCCTCTGCTAAAACCGCTGAAGAATAATTAATAATTAATCTACTTGGTAAAGGCAGAGATCGATATTTCCAATCTGGACTAATCAGGTGTGTCAACAGTCCTAGAGAACACTCCTTAAAGGTTTATTTTGTCAACACTACTAATTTCTAAAAGACTTTTTACTGTTAAAATAACTGGCACCAATGAGATGTACGGGGGTGGGAGGGGAAAGGACTCGGGAGAGGCTGTACCCTGATATAGCGAACAAAATGCAGAGTGCACCCTGGGTGTTCCCCTCCACCGACCCGCCATACACAGAAAGTTCAGGACTGCTATCAGTGCAACGCTTGCCACCCAGCAAACACCCTATTTTAATCATCGACACTATGACTGTATACAAGTTGAGCTCATCAATGAAAATTCAACATTTTCTAAGGAACTGTCAGTCCAAGTGATTCTAATGACAAACTTAACATAGTTTAACAAGCCAAACCAAGCCTTTATGCATATTTATTTATAAATAGAGCAAATTTAAATTCATCATGAATGATTTTTTAATTAACATCCCTAAACAACATATACTTCATGTGAATATTACTAGAAGGCTATCATAATGAAACCTACTAATCTTTGATGCTAGACATTTTTCAAAACTGGAAATCTAAATTAAATAAATCTTCATACAATTTACTATTTGCTGGCACTGGTAAGGTATCCAATTAATGATTTACAGTAGAAATATATAAAAAAGATATTACACATTAAATTTCTTTGAAATAGAAAAGGTTCCACTTTATCTTACTATATGTACCAACTTCAAGGATCCAACTTTAACAAGGAGAATTCTATAAATTCCATTTGTACTAAAAGGATAAAGTAGAAATCTTGTTTGATACCAAGCTCTATGTGAGGTTTTAAAGGAACAGTTAAGTTTAAATTCTTAGTTTTACTACTCTTCCTTTTGGGGGGAGGGGGACAGATCCATTATCTATGGTATTAAACTAGGTATTATTTATGTCTACATCTTAATTTATGCAAATTATGTATTCTAATCTAATGGGGAATCCAAAAGCAGTTCTCCACTCATCAATAAAGTCCAAAACAAAATGTCTCACGCATAGTGCCCTCACTGACTTACTACCGGTTTACTCTTTGTGTTTATAGATGCGTCTAGAAATTAATGTTAAGATAAACATGTACACTTAGCTATTTGCATTAATTTTGGTTTAACTGTGCAAAGCTAAAATAACACTTTGGATTTTATTTAGTAAACAAGTCACTACTGTAAGCGAATTAAGAGTACCAAACCCAACAAACATATCTTTGTGTGGTCCACTAATTATAAGAAAAATTCCAAACACTATTAGCTGTTATTAAAATCACAATACCACCTAGAGCTAATAAAACAGAACAATCTGTTTGAACAGGAGAGGAGAGCTTTCATAGTGTTCTCTCTCATATAAATTCTTAATGGAGTAGGAAGGACTTTTAAGTGGCTTTAAATTTGAATTCGACTGCTCAAATCTGTAACAGGCTTCCAAGGAGAATCTGAGCGGATGACACACAGGGACCCGCCCGCAGTGTGCCCGTCCGGCTCGACCCTCATGAATAGAAGATAAAGACGCTCAGTGTCTTCCTAAGAACCACAGGAACCCATCAGCCATATTCACATTGGTGGGGTTCATGCACCACCAGCACAAAAATTAAATCGTAAAGTGAAAAAGGCTTTCTCTGTGTGCTGCAGCTTCACCTTGTAACAAACCAAAGAGGTTTGCAAATGTATTAAATATCACAGGGACTGAGCCGCACAGGTGACGGACAACAGGATCCAACAGAAAGGAATGAAGACTGGAGAACGAAGGCAGCAAAACACAACTTCACTGGAGCCCAGGGGTGCCCAGGCCACCGCTCTGCTCACCTGACCCTCCACCCCTGTCGAGGAGCTCATCACTTTGCCAGAAACACACCCTGCATGTAGTCCATGTGGACGCCAGGCCTACCTGCAAACACACCGCAACCATCCTCGGGTTCTAACAGCCACACTCACTGCTCTTTACCAAGTAAAGCCCTCCTGCCCGGGAGGTACCTTCACAACTTCAATGTTAACAAGTTGGTAACACACTAGAGTGATTTTATGTTGCTCTAAGCACATGTGAGAATTATATACGAATATATAAAAATTAATTTTAGACCTCATAAAATACATAAGGCTGTATCAATTTACACATCTACCAAGCAAAATAAGTTATCTTCAGAGACCCAATATGGAGTTATATTTTGCGTATGCTAAAATGTGGACAAAAATGTATTTGCAGTATTAAAGCAGAAGCATTTATTTTTCAATCTTAGAAAATAGGTTAATTGACAGTAAACTGATTTGGCAATTTTTTGTTTGTTTGATTTAGTATACTAATAAGAACAAATGACTTTTTCTAGTTATCAAGCTATTGGTTCTTCCGATCCCATAGGAGCAAGTGTCGTTGGCCTCCCGTAGCCTTTAGGGAAACGCACACAGTGGCACAGCGCTCAATATAAGAGCCACGCATCGAATTGAACTACCGTGACCGAAAAGGCTGTGGTTAGCCCTGAGGAGTCAGTCCTCTGGGTTTCGTTTTAGCATCGCTGACAGGCTACCATCACACCCTGCGGGGCTGGATTTGGGGGCCTTCCAGCTATGCAAACACTGGTCCTTTGGGTTCGTCCTAACCGGGTCCCTCCAGAAAGAAAACACAAAGCTCTTAACTCAGACCTCCTGCACTGTGGTCAGTGGCAGGAGTGACAAGAGAGGTGAGCCTGGGCCCACCAGGGTCCTGTGCTGCCTGCCCCGCTCTGCCCTGGTCTTCTCAGACCAGCCCTCTGACAGGTACAAGGCACTGTCTGACAAGGTCCCGTCTGGCCTCCCCCATCACCAAATGCAGGTTCCGGGCGGCACTCTGTGAAACAGGGGCTGGGCAGGCTCATCGACCTCTTCCACCTCAGAATTCTGTGGCCCATTTAGTAAAAAACAAGGGTCTGAAACATCGTTTTTCTCTTCCTAATATGCCATAACAAGTGAACATTTCAGCGGCAGGAACTACGGACATCTGAATGAGGAAGACATTCTTGCACAGAGCTCCCAGCAGCAGTGTGGCAAAGGGCAGGCCCCCCACGGGCAGCAGCCACGGTGCCCTGCAGCCACTCGCTGCCACCTTGGCCTCACGTCAGCCTCTGCGAGGAGCAGAGAGCACCTGGATCAGAGGGTAGAGCAGCCCACGTGCACCCCTGACCCCTGGCGGCACTGCCGCCCTTGGGCTGGACTGGCCCCCTTCCCAGGGGGGTGACTGCTGCGCACAGGACGGTAGGAGGGCCTTACTGAGGAGCTGACACCTGAGCACAGGCAGGGAGCAGTTAGAGACCAAGATCATGAATATCAAGGACAGAGCAGCACCATGGAAGCAAGGGCAGAGGCCCACAGGGAAGCATGTCTTGGGACCCGCAAGACGAGGTGCCCACCCGTTTCACAGGTGACGAATGGGGCCTGCAGGTGACGCGAGCTGAAGCCAGCAGCGCGGGGCCTGGGCTCTGGGCTGGGCCTGGGTCTGTGTCCTGGGCATCCTGACGTGGGAGGTCCTGCCTGTGCTCCAGTGCCCACGGACACCTCCTTCCCTCTGGCCCCAGGACACAGGCTTCTGCTCTGAAGCTCTTGCACACAGCACTTTGCACACGTGAGCTGCCGCATAGAGTGCAGGGGGCACGACGGGCTCCGGTGCAACCAGGCGGGAAGGGCTGGGCCTGGCCCAGCCTGAGGTCGCCCTGACAGCCCCTCCCCGACGGCGAGAACCATGCCCCTGGCCCCTCCTCACTGCCCTGCTCTTCTCACACTCCCTGCTGGCTGGCCAGGCTCCGAAATAAATACGTGGGGGAGCAAGGCCCAGGAGAACAGCCCTCCATGCTGTCTGTGGGTCC